GGAGGCCCTCCTGGCTGTGCTGGCCGGGGGCCTCTCCCGCGCCTGGGGGCTGTCGCAGGCGGTGAAAGACGCCTGCTGGGCTCTGCTCCGCTCTTGAGGAAGTGCTGCCCCTTCCAGGGGGAGCAAAAAAGACCAAAAACCACCAGGTGAAGCATCCAGCTGCTCTGTTTCTTCCCTGTCGCAGCTCGTAGCAGCCCAAGGTCACGGCAAGCAGGAAATTCTTAATCCAAAAGTGAAGGTTAAAAGCAGAGGGCCAAGAACGCTGCGGGTGCGAGAAAGCTCCGTTCCACCGACAGCCATAAATCAACAGTAATTCACCCTGCGCGGGGGCCAAGCCCACGTGTTCCAGGCTGGATTTAGGAATGGGAGCTCAGCCCCAGGCAGCCTCCCCACCACGTAACTGCTGCTCCCTCCTCGCCCAGCTCTCCCCGTTTCTTGCTGATGGTCTCACTGTTTTCTAACTTTCCCGTAGCAAGGAAGGAAAATGTTTCTCCAGTGCAAGACACTGGCTGACAGACGTAAATCTCTGGACCGTGTTCCTAGGAACTTAATAACAACAGGCTGAAAAATCAGCCATGGGGTGCTAAAAATAAACAAATGCATGGAAGAATTTGGCTCGGTCTCGTTTCCTCACGCGGTGCCTCCTGCCTACAGCAAACATCATCTGCCCCGTGCAAAGCCCCGAAGAGAACTGCACAGAGCCTCGAGGGAATCCACTCCGGCTTCACCTGTCCAAGCCACAACCCCTGTGCCACCGCCCAAACGCTCGCGCTGCTTTCGTGTTCCGACCCCCATCCTTCACAGCAAGGACCGAGGCACAAGCGTCCCCACGGGCCCCGGGGCTGACTCCTGCACGCAATGGGCTGGCTCTGTCCCCGGCTGCAGCCCCGAGCCACCCCCTGCACCCCGTGAGCGAAGAGGAGGAGGAAGGGAGGACTTACTCGAGGAATCGTGTGATGTACTCCCGGCTGCAGCGGGACCAGGTGAGTGGGGACGTGTCATACAGGAGCTGTGGAGACATGATGAAAGGTCTTTTCCCAACTGGCTCACAGTCATTGCTGCTTCCATCATGCTGAATCCCAAAACTGTGTAAGAGCACAGTCCCACAAAGGAGAGGTGAGCCGCACGCCGCCACAACCGCGCAGCCTCTCTGCTTTCCAGCACACCGACACGCGACGCCGGACACGGCAAACCAGCCCGGCTCCGCGGGGACGCGCTCATTAACAGGCACCAGGGGAGCTGGCTGTGGGGGACATCTTAGCGATACCGGGGACACTGCCCTGAACTTTGTCCCATGCTTTTATTTCAGCTTTCTTACTGAAAACTCAGCTAAGAAAAAAGTAATGAGACTATTGAATAAGATGAAGTTAATTAAACTTACTAGGTACTTAGTTTTGCCATATAAAGATACCTATTATGAACTGTGACGTTTGAGTGAGGTTGTCAAAATGTAATTGAAAGTAGGGCAAGCAACATTCTGTCGCTGATTCTACCCACAGATCCTATTTTAAAGTTTCTTAACAGGCAACCCTCCTCCCCAAAACCTTCAGCATCAGCAACAGAGGATAACACACAAATGCAGTTTGTTGAGGTTGCCTTGGATTATCTGATTGTCATTGAACCTGGGGCAACTAAAAACTTCACTCTGAAATGGAACTCCCAGGGTAAATTCCCCCGGGAGCAGGGGAAGGTTTGCACCAGCGAGGAACCGCTCCGCAATCTTCTCCCAACTTCCACCCGTGCCTTCTCAAGCCCTGACCGAGCAGCGCGGAGGACAGAGGTCAGAGGAGAGGAGGAGGAAGCTGATGGTACCTGTGTCCGAGCTCATGGGCCACGGTGAAGGCCAGGGGCAACCCCGTGTCCTCATTGATGTTGCAGCTCCTGTGGGGCTGGCACATCCCCGCCACGTGGGACAGCCCCAGGGTCTCGCAGGGTCTGTTCATCGCCGCGCAGATGTCCTTCCTGAGGCGACGGAGACAGCCAACACACAGACACAGAGCAAAGAGGGCGTTTGAGAGCGGCAGGACCCAACGCGAGGCGCGGGAAGGAGCACGGGACGCGTCCCAGCCCACGGAGGAAGACGCGCGGATGTTGGCCAAACAGAAGTGAGAACGGAGACATCCAACGTCTTTCCGCAACGGAGAGATTTACGACCTTTCCTTTCCCCTTTACTCTCCCGGTATCCCCAGCTTATTATTAAGCCTGATTAATGGGAACTGCTAGCCAGCCTGGCTACATTTATTCCATTGTATAAATAAAGCTGATGCTGGGAATAATTAAGCAATTACGACGTTGCCTGGGGAAGCACATCCCAGGGGTGCTGTGGTCCAGGGCAGAGGAGCTCCAGCCACCCAGCAAGAACAACTCCACTGAAGTACACGGCCTTAAGTGCCTTATTTCTGCTACAAAGCAAACTTTATGAAGAAGATAAAACTGTTGTGGGCTGTGAATCATCACACAAACCACCACGATACTGCCAACAGCCAAGCCACTGCAGCCTGAAACCATCAAACTACATTTTTACTGCAAGGTATATAAACTTGGCCTGAGGCACGAATTCCTGCGAGCTTCATGGGAGGTCAGGGGCCTCCTCAGAGGTTCCTCTGCCAACCCCAGCATCAGCCGCCAAGGGAAATAGGAGAGTTAATCCCTGCGTACACCTCCTGGGAGGATCCAGCCATCCTGGGGCTTGGCAACAGGGCCACGGTGAAAACCTGGTTTGGAAACCTCAACTGCTAGTCAACTGGGAGCTGGCTCCGGGTTTAAGCCTGAAGTCTGAGACCAGTTCTAGCCGTTAGGACCAGGTTATCTTCAAATTTCATTTAACGTATCTCACATGCAGGTGTCCAGGCAGGGCTCAGACATGGAGAAAGAGATTTCCACCGCTCCCACCGAGATGTTCCCTCGGCTGCCTGCCTGCCTGCCCAGCTGCCTGCAGCCAGCAGAGTTTCTGCTGCCAGAGCAGCACCCACAGCATAAAATTAGCCCAGGGGCACAATACCTTGTGAGCAGGACTGCGACGTCGTGATGCAGGGGATGGGAATCTCCTTTAACATTGATGCTTTTCTGCCATTTGCAAAAGCTTTTCAAGGTGTTGTCTGCGTGGTGGGAGATTTTCAGATCCTCCTGCCAATGTAATTAAAAGTCTGCTGTCATACTGCTGCCAGATCTGTTTGGTTTTTAGGATGCAGTGGGGAGGGGTCTGATCTCAAACGCATCAGGGTGAAATCAGGACTAACTGCCATCCAGGTGGCATTGGCTCCATATTTATACTTTGTGGGCTGGGTGGGAACAGTCGATTTCTGCTTTCTTTTCAGCTGTGATTCAACCGAAACATTAAACCATCTGATACGGGGGCTTAAGCAACACTCAGGAAAACATCCTGTCCTGGCTGCTGGCGAAGGACGCAGCCGGGGAGCCCATCTGAGCAGCATCAGGCTCCCCAGGAGTCACCGCCACAGCCGTGAGCACAAACAACCAGCGACTCACAGCCCTCTGCCACCGCCGGCGATGCTCCGTTATCATAAATTGTCATAACAGACTCCTCTGACCATGCCGTCCCCCTGACTTTACCAGGGCTGCAGCCCACGCAGAAGACAAGGACGCAAGGCACGGGCACCTGCATTTATCTCACGCCAGTTCATCCAGGCCATGAAGACAGCGCAGGAGAGGGCTCACGGGCTGCCAAGGGCAGCAACCCGTGCAGCCCAGCCAGCCCCCGTGGTTTCTTTTTACCTCCTCGTCCTCCAGCAGGATGAGCCGCACTATAGCGATGTTGATGGGGTTCCCGATGCTGGCGTGGTGGAACAGCCCCGCCACCTGCAACACGCGAAAGCCAAAGAAATGAAGCCCAAAAGAAAGACCTTGCCCTGTGACACCACTGCTGGTAAGTACATCTGCAGGGGAAGGTGAGCTCGAGGGGCAGTTGCTGGAGGTTGTCGGCAAAATCTCGGGGAATTCCCCAAATTGCAAGACAACACCAGATGCAGACCTGGACTGAAGTGTTTGGAGTGCAATGATATCCATTTAAAACTGATATAATCTGTGTAGCACATTGCAACTCAGCCAGAAACGCCCAGGGGAACACTTCTGCTTTCACTCCCAACAGAGGTGTTTAACATCTCAAAGGAAGCCTGTGCTCTCTGCGTGCCTTCACCAACACCGAGAAACCCAGGGATGTTACCCCGAGGTCCTCTGCCCAGTCCCACCCTCTTTTCTGGCCATCAACCAAAGCCCTCTTCTGAAATGCAAATAGGTGCTACCACAGCAGCAGAAGAGTGAACAGACTAAACCAACTCACGCTGACTTATCTGCTTGTTTTATGGCACCAACAAACCCCTCCCCAGAACCCCAGTGGAGACCACCACAACCTGGTGGCTCCTTCCCTTCCCTATTCCTCTGCCGCATCATCCCAGGACAGCGATTCAAGTGTCTCCTGCTAGCCAGGCTGGTGCTGGCACCGGCTCCGATGGCAGCAGCCCTGGCGGGCACGGCCAGCGCCGAGTCCGAGGGAGGCTGAGTCCCACCACCTCCCTCCTCCAGAGCAGCCCTGCCCTGGGGCATCTCCCTGGGAGACCTTGTTATCCGTCCCCATGGTGGGAAGGAGAAGGGAACAGCCCTTGAGCCCCACGGGGAGCGAACCCGCTGCCGGCTGAGCTGCTCCTGCCTGCACGGAGATCTTGGCCTCGGGCTTGCTCACGCTGACCTGAGCTCCCGCAGCGGACGGAGCACTGAGCCGGGCAGAAAAGCCAAGGCACAGGTGGGAACAGCCCGTCTGGCGAGAGGTTTGCTGAGGTCCCACCAAGGATGAGTCCTGGCAAGCCCAGTGGTCTTTATGTCTCATAGCCACGTCCCCAGGGACCTGGCGGCTCTGCTGCTGAGAGGACCAGGACTCACCATGTTCATCACGGTCAGCACGTACTTCTCTATGTTCTCGCTCCCGTGGTATTCTACCATCTTGGTGTCTGCCACCACCAGCGTTTCCACCCACTTCTCCTTGCTGATGGAGCGCTGCTTTATTCTTCTCTTCCTGTGCTGCTTCTGTTCCCATCTTTCCCTCTGCTTCTCAGACCTCTCCAGGCTTTCCTGAGATTCTGAGGGATTAAAAGGGGGAAAAAGACTTGTTTGTTTGGTTTTTTTTTGTAAAATTTCTGCAACTTTGGTAAAATATCAAGGCTTTTATTATTTTTTCACTTCAAAGACATAACCTTTCGGTGTTGAGAAGGGGGTTCCATGCTTAGACCCATAACCTATGTGTATTTTACTGCGCTATATGTTCCAAAAAATCACTGGAGGGTGAAGACTCTGACCTCAGTCTGTTGCACAGCAGCATTAGCATGATAGGAAAAAAAAAAAAGCGAATTTGAAGTAATTTCTTTGACTGGAACAGGGTCTGCAATATTCCACGAAGAACGTGGAGCCTCCCAGAGCAGAGTGCTTATGGTTCGTATTGACACATGAATTCACAGGCAGCCCTGCAGAGATGCTGGAGCATGCACCACTGAGAAGAACCCCAGTGGCTCAACGTTTCTGGTTATCACCACCAATCTGCATTTTGCAGAGAGAGACAGCTCCCCAAACGATAAACTCCGTGCCCCCAAAGCTGGACTGATGTCTTGAGCCAAATCCCGAAGATCGTCGGTGTCCTGGGCAACACCGAGACGTTGCAGGACTGCACAGAGATTTCATCGGCCACATGGAGACCGAACTCTGCTCCCTCCCGGGGAGAAACAAGGGGAACATTCACGGGGCTGAGAAGAGTCAGGAGGTGGAGGCGAGCTCGGCCGCTCCTCACGCACACCAGCCACTGGGAATTCTCATGCGGAGCCTTTTCCTGTGACACTGCTCCGAGATCAGGGTCAGGGTCAGCCCCAAGCTGGGGAAAGGCTTTACAAACCACATCCCACACAGTGGGAACTGTTTTATGACCAGTTTCTAAGCGCTCAGCCTTACTTTGTTAACAATGGACTTCTACATTTTATGGACTACACTGTACACTATCTGTGAAAGAGTGTTTTAGCCCCCA